ACGGTCGATTCACAATTAAAGAGAGAAACTTAACTCTAAACAAGTCAAAAAAGGTGATTACAACCTAATCTAATCATTTCAAGACATTCTAAGAGGTTCTAAGAACATTGGCCAAGAATCCCACAAATTGCCCTTTCCCGGTTGAAGTGAAAACTGATACTACTTCACTAAAACATGAATAACTTCCACTATGTTTGGAATCTGAGAATGGCATAGGTACCATTGGAAATATGACTCAAAATCCTTGAGTTTAGGCTCAAGAATCACCCCTTTGGATAAGGAACGAAGGAGTTATGGCCTTTCGAAGTTGGATCATCAGTGCTGAATTGAAATCTAGAAATGTTGATGCACAGGGGCTATTTTGGTCGACTGACTTAGAGTTTCATTTGTTTGAAACTCACAGAATGCTTTCTAAAGGTTGGTTTTTACTGTTCATTTGGTCTCAAAAGGGGATCGGTCGACCAAGATGGTGTTTCGGTTGACCGAAACTCCTCGAAATGCTGCTGAAAGCTCTTCCACACATGTGAAATTGCAACGGAACCCATGGGATTCATTCTACCCACATGCATAGATCAAAATTTGATTCATTTTAAGGAAGATTGAACATATGAACATGTCAATTATAAGAATTTCATGTGGCAAACCTCCAAGATGGTTAAAATACATTTTTGAAGAAAAGTTTGATACCAAAGGAGTATAGATACAAAAGTAAACATACTTGGCCCTTGGCCTCTTTACATACATGTTTATAATGTCAAAAGTAAGCAATTTAATATCATTACATGTCAAGGAAGCTACATTGGCTTCTAAAATACCATACACCCATGGTATACAAAATATAACATCAAAAGTAAGGCATGCTAAACACTTGCATGTCATTATACAAAAATGCTTCAAAAGTACAAAATGAGCAAGATACCATTAAATAGAATTTAATTAATTTAAATCAATTAAATCTCAAGACTTCAAAAGTTGTTCAAATGATCTCAAATTAATATATATCAAGCACTAAGTCATGGTCATACCATATATCATGTCTAAAATGGAATACAAGCAAAACACGATTAACTAGAATTTAAATCAAATGAAATTCATTTAATCTCTAGATTTAAAAACTCATTCAAATCATTCCAATTTTAATATATAACAAAGATCAAGTTATGGCCATGCCCTATATCAAGTCTAAAATGAGTAATATGCAAGCTAAGATACATTATTAATTTCTCAAATTAATAAAAGACATGCATACAACTTATATTTCATACAAAAGCAAGTAAAACACTTGAAAAAAATAAATATAACACCCCCTACCTCAATAGAGAATTGAATCTTTATAATCCCAAACAACCAAGCTCAAAAATGGAAAACAAAACAAGCGTTTTGAAGAAGAGAGTAAGAGGAAACTTTTGTCTCCCAAGGTTTATAGTTTAAGGTGAATGGAAAGCCTTCAAAAATTAAGGTCAAAGCCTAAGCATCAAGCTTCTCTAATGGTGGCTAAGGTTTGTGGTGAGGAAGATAATGCTACAAATGAGATTAAGTGTGAGTGGAGGAAATAGAAATTCTCCATTCACTATGTGATCTTACACTACCTCTCGCACACACACTATTGCAAGACCAATTTGTGAGCCTACACTTGTCACAAATCTAAGGTTCCTTCCTAGGCTTAATCTCAAGCCTGCATTTGTCAACCATCTAAGCCAACAAGTGCTCCAATCCTAGGCCAATAAGTGGGTGAATCTCCACTCTCGAAATGTCAATAGATTATGCTTCCAAGTCTCCCCACCCAAATGCCAACAAGTGGTTCCATAAGAATATGACACTTGTCACATTTTTCAAAAATTGCAAAAAAAGTCATTTTCAAAATATCTTACAAATTAAATTGCAAAAAAGTTCCTAAGACGAAAAATAATTACTTTATGTAATTACACAAAAACCCAATAATAAGAATGATTACAATAAAGTATGAATCCATGCCCTTTATGAAACAAGTAAGCAACTAGCATGTTTTTCACAAAAGCAAAAATACCAATGTCTTGAAAATCAAATATCATGAATGCATGCAGAACCGGAATTAAATTCGAACACATGAAGTGAGGTTATACAAAGAAAAACAATAAACGGGAAAAAGACGAAATAGGGAATAGTGTCGAAAAATATAAATGTGGAATTGACGCGGTCCTCAAAGGAAATTGTAAATCCAAGAAAAAGAGTCTCGGAAACCATTCCAGAGCACTCAAGATGACACTATGTGACGAGAAACCGATCTCAGAAAGAAAAGATTAATGGGAAAAAAAATATATATCCGTGAAAATTCGAGAAAATGAAAGGAGGAAAGATGACCGAGTCATTACAACCAAGGCCTATAAATGTATATAATATATACAATTCACACACATATGTATATGTAATGGAGAAGATGAAGATATTTTGGAAATTTCATTTAATTTGTATATGACATTCGTATATCGTCATATATGGACATTTCATTTAATTCGTACATGATATCATTCTATTTCATTTATTTTTAGATTTTGACATTTTTGAGTAAATTAGAGATTTGTTCTTATTTATACAAAATAAAAAATATAAGAGAATTTTATAAATAATAAGAGGGTAGTAGTACATTTTGTATATAAGAAGTGATTTTTTTTGCACTTAACTCAAAAAGTATTATAAAATTATTTAATTAAATTAAAAAATTTTAAAAAAAAGTCCAAACAATTGAAAACCGCGGCTTCTCCCTCGATTTTCAAAATGTGTGCACGCCCTTTTCAAGGGCCTCATCCAATACCGGGATGCCACTTCTTGTTCCCGAAGTCATTCTTTATTTACTTTCTCTCATATCCTTGTGAATTACTAGTAAATAATTGGGGACGAATGATTAATTAAAGACTGAAATAATATTTTTTATGACATATCCCTACCCTTAATAGACTTTTTCGGATAATCCAAACTAGGGACAAATCCAAAAAAAAAAAATTGAATAGAGTGGCTTGAACGAAACATTATAAAAAAATGCAAAGGCTGAATTGTATCGACAAATAAGTCATAATATAACATTATTAGCCACATGAGTTAATGAGATTCGCTTTATTGTGTTATGGAGCAGATTCTTCAATCATTTCGACCTCCTCATGGTGTAGGATTAGAATCATTTTACTTATATTCCTTGAGTAAATTCCTTTGTATTATAGGACTGGAATCTTTTAATTGGATGAGATAGAATTCATTTTTTATTTGTTTTTAAATTTTTTATTTATTTTGATAAATTAAAAAAAGAGAGGTTGAAACACAAACACACTTATTCAAAAACTGAAACCCTATCAATTAAATCACTCAGTAATATTAAAATTAGTTTTTTATTTGAAAAATCACATATTCAAGTCAGGACATGATTGATACATATAATCAACCTTGCTAAAAACAAAGACCGCTAAAAACAAAGACCACCCATGTAGCAGTTATTCAACCAAAACAATTTAATAATGTGATAACATATATGAATCTCAGAACTCTTGGCTACAAAATTAAACCAAATCTGAAGTTAAATTCTCAGAAAAAGAATGAAATCAAGGCAGAGAAAGAATAAGGATTAAGTGCAGAAAATTCCCATCGCTGCTATGTACCGCTATTACACATTAAATCTTTCTCGACTGACCCTGTTGTTTCTCTGTTTGTTTCTTGAAAATCTAATTTGGGTCGATCTGAAGCATCGCAGGGAAGACCTAGAGAGATCCTTTATGTCTAAAATTGAGGGTTTGGTTTCCAATCCATGATGGGTTTGGAGTCCGTACCTGATCTGTGCAGCCATGGATTAAAAACACATAGAGGCATGGATATTGCTTACAGTAAATGACTCAATTAGTCATTAAATTAAAAGACATAGTAGTATTTTTAAGGGTATATCTGTCAAAAAAAAATATAGTTTCCCATATATGGGGATGAGTTTGAGAATTGTCTAAAATGATAATTTTACATTGCCTGATTTTTTTTAACATTATTTATTTTACTGACAAGAGAGTATCATAATCTTTATATGCAAATGGAGAGGTATTTGCACCAAATTGACAATATAGGTTGGTTTCATACCACACAAGAACTTTTTGCATTATATTGATAGTAAAGGGGGATCTTTTGCAGTTAACCCAAAGGATAAACATAACATATTAATTCCCAAAAAAAAAAAAAAAAAAAAAAACATAAAAATGAAAATCTATAACCTTGTTGGCCTAGTTGGGAAAAATTGGAGCCTGATACATGCCTCATGAAGTATTAAATATCATAATCGATTTCTCCTAATTGCAAATAATTCCTTAGGAACCACTTGGGAACTACGCCCATGGATATTTCCCAAACTTTACTCTATCGGTTGAGAAAGGGGGCCTTCCACGAATTCATATTGTATATTTAAGCAATATAAATGAAAAGAATGAACAAGGTGGAGGCAAAATTAACATTTTTTTTTTGCCCCCCGGGGCTTGGCTCAGTTGGTAGGTGCTTGGCACTGGCTCACACTAAGCCCGTGTTCGATCTCTGCCAATCCCATTATTACTCCCGACTTACCCGGTATATTCTTGGGGCGAGACTCTGCACCCCAGGTTTGTACCCTAGGGTGAGTCCTAAAGGAGTCCTGCCTAGGGGAGTTCCTGGTGTTAACTAAAATAAATAAATAAAATTAAAAATTTTTCTAACTGGGGACCATTTTGTCCAACTTTATATATGTATAATGTATAAAAATTCAAGGGGCAGCTGGACTGCCTCCGTATCTAACTTAAATTTACTAGATTACATACATATATATCTAAAAATAAAAATGATAATTAATCTTAGAATGGAATAAATTTGATTATTTGATTCCCACTAATTTGATGTGAATGAGACACAATATTATAATAATATGATTAAATAAGATAATATCATGATAATATATAATCCTTTACAACTTTGCGATTCTGCATCACTATTCGTATATAAAAGGATTGATGAGCAAATTACAAACATACGTGAAAACCCAATTTGTCATTACTGATACTTTTTGTGTCATCTCAATCGAGGCGGGAAAAAAATACACACTCAATCAATCCGATCTCTACGTATACATTTTTTTTACATGAAGATCGAATATATATGTATCAATTGAACCAAATAAAAATAAAAATTCAGAAGCTGCAGTTTCAAAATAGTTGAATCAGAGGAATAGTTACACACACTATTTGTAAATTTCCTTTTTCTTTTCCAAGCCTTTTGGTGCTGATCGAGCTTTTCTTCCTCCAATGAATTATTGTTATAAGCATTAGCTAATCAGAAGAATTGTTGGACGGTGCCTTCGTAAATAGTGGTCAACGTGATCCTGAAGGAACGAACCGCCAACTTAGCTCTTCTTGACGAATATCGCTGCAGATTTCTTACAGAACCCGATCTCGGAACCCTAGCCATGCTATTCTCCTTGAGCTTGTCACTGTCCGGATTATAAGAATTCATTTCAACAAGTAGTGGAGAAATCCGAGCTTTCTTGTTGCCCTTCTTGGAGCCGAAGCTTTGTTGGAGGGCGGCGCTGGCCTTGACAGCCAGAGTCGCCATGTCGGAGGCGGACAGGCGGTACTGGAGCTTACTTGTGGGGAGCTCGAAATAGATCTGACCGGCTTGGAGTTCACATAGTGGATCCAAGGCCGGGACATAGTCATCCTGGTAGAGTTGATCCGAGTTGCAGAGGAAGGAGGAGGATGTTTCTGTGAGGAGGAGGACGTCGGAGACCGTCACCGGAACTGTGTATTCTCGCAGATCGCCATTGACTGGTATGACAATAGCAGTGAGCTGCTCACCATCTGAGTGATGACTTCTACCGGATGAGAAACAGCTACCCATTTCTTTGATGACCGACCTATTTTTTCTTTGATGATGCTGTTTTAGAGAGAGAGAGAGAGAGCTGTGAATGGAAGAAATGTGAAGGCTATCGAGAGAGAGAAGTGTGTAATTGGAGGAGAGGAAACGAGGTGGTTACTTGGTTTAAAAGGGAGAGGAAGGTGTGAAAAGATTCTTGGGTGGGGAAGGTCGTATGCAAATATGCAATTCATGAATTGACCTCCACTTTTGAATTCAAAGAATATTAAATATGCGACACGTGTATTTGCTACTATTTGTAGTTTAATATTAAAAAAATTGACACTTATTATTTAAAAGGGACATTTGTCAAATTTTGGTGTCGATGCACTAGGGTCCTAGAGAGAGATGGTTCGAGAAAGATTGCAGCGTTGAAATTTTACGAACAGTAGCTCCGGAACTAACACCAATGACATTAAGGCCCAATTTGGTAGAATGGAAATGAGAGAGAGAAAAAAAAAAAACGAAGGTAACAGAAGGGAATAAAAAATTGTGCTTTAAATAAAAGGTTGAAATAAAAGGTAATGAAGTGTTTTGGAAGGAGAGAGTAAAATTTACAAGGTAACTTTTGCTATTCTTTCAAAATTGAGAGGAAATGAAGGAAAGGCTAATGTATTTTTTATAATACGAAATTTAACCTTAAAATAAAATTAAAATTACACTTGAATCCTAAGTCATTTTTTACTCACTTTGGTGAATGTGGGAAACAAAGCTGTCAAAATTTATTGAAATGTACCAAAATTTACTAGTCCCAAAATATATGTCCTGCATGGGAAATTCAATTTTTTATGGTAGTGGAGTTTTAATAATTTTTTTATTGTATTGATAAGAGTGAAGTTCCAAATTTATCCTTACTAAAAGACAAAACAGTGTTCTGTAATTAGTGCACTTTGTTGACCTTAAAGACTCCATTCAAGGACAATTTAGAGGTTTTGATGATAATAAACCATTAATGGTGTTTAAGGACTAATGTTTACATTGAGGGTTAGTTTGGTGTGCAAGAATGAAATGAAATGGAATGAGAATAAAGTTAAGAATGGACTGAGAATGGAATGGAATGGGAATGATGATTCCCATTCTCTTGTTTGGTTGCAAACATGGAATGTTAAAAATAAAATGACGATTTCCATTTACTTATTTGGTTGTACTTAAATATTGAAATGGAATGAATTTATATTGTTTTACCTTTATCATCATTTATATTGTTTTCTCCAAATTACCTTTATTATTAATAAAAAAAATTAACTAAAAAATTAACATCAAATTTTTTCCAATCCAATGGTTAGAAAGAGCCTGCTGTAAGAAAGAAATTGGGGCAAGAGATAGAGAGAGAAAGTAGAGAGAAGAAATAAATTGGGCAAGTGAGGTGTTGTTAAACACACCAGTCACGAATCAAAATTCTGACAAGTCTATGCCTTCAAGCCAATGGATCAGACTTTACAAATCAAACAACATCATCATCGCCCTAGTCACAATGACTCCCAACAAAATAATGCACCCAAAATCTTCCACGTCATCCTAAAGCTGACCTACTATAAGGCTACGCCTAGGAATCAAGACATCGGATCAAGCTCACACACACAATCCCGACAACCAAGGTCATACAACCCCAAGCACAGTGCGGAATGATAAAAAAGAATAAACTAATAAAGCAATTAGTTATGAAACATATATATACATATGCAAGTATACGTTCACAAGTATACTAAGAAAAATCAAAATGGAAATACTATATATATATATATATGTATAAGTATACATTCGCAAGTATACTAAGCAGTACTAAATCCATGCTAGACAAGTATACAGGCTCAAGTATACTATACCCAAAACGAAATGAAATAAGCAACGTACTAGCATACTAGGTACAAGTTTACTAAACGTAATGAAAATCCTTGCACCAAACAACTAAACACATAGTGTATAAGGGCAATTAAGTATGCTACCTATCACATAGGGGTCAAACATTAGAGACACGCTACACATCACCTATGACGCTAACATGACAAGCAGATATAGTAAATGAAAACACATCACCTATATCATCACATAACTACCAAATAGTCACATCCCCTAACATATTTCTAAGGCATGCACAAAACAACAAGGCATATAAACATGTAAGAATGACTATGCAAATAACAATCCCGCAAAATCACAAGCAAGAAGGGATAAAATGCCTCTCAGAAGAACAAACTCACTAAAGTGGATCCCAAAAACCCGGATGAGTCCAATCCCTCACAGCAAGGAAGTGAATCATCTCCTAGAATGAACACTAGGGTTCCCGAAACAAAGAGTCTACAAGTCTTTCCCAAGACTAGCCCAAACACAAGGTGGAATCCTAATGCCACACAAAACAAACAACGGTGTAATGGATAGTCCCAATACTAACCATTACGAGACACCAACGAGAGAACTCAACTCAAGATGCCAATGAGTTCGATGAGAACTCTACAGGATCCTATCCATACAAAATCCCAAGTCTCCAAGGACAAGGGAGAATAATTAATTGCACCAATGCAATTAATTACGCGTAACCACTCACACCCCAACCTTAGCTCGTAAGAGCTGTCCAAGGCAAGACAAAAAGAATCCTAGGTCAACGTACCTATCAAATCTCCAACCATCACTCTAAGAAGAAGAAACGCAAGGACCTCGCCATTGAGGCTTACGAAAATGAATCTCCCAATCCCCAAGGAAGGACTCGAGTCAATCTGACTCGTCGCCCCGTGGCTTTAGAAATAAGACCCCAATGACGTCATCACATCAAAGTCACCACGAAACTCCAAGAGATGATCCCCTAACATCAATCTCAACTAACCAAGCTAGGACAACCCGCAATGCCTAAATAAGACATAAAATAAGTAGTTGTCACGTAATATAACAATGGACTACGTACTCACACAAGTAGAAAATAATCACATAAGGCATATCAATGTAAGCATCATACAATCATGCTAAAAATAACAAGCACATGTAACATGCCAAGGTAAATAAGCATAACCCACATGCTAAGCAGACAAGCGTAAATCAACATGCTAAAACAGACAAGCGTAAATCAACACGCTAAAACAGACAAGCATATACAATGTACCCAGACACCAAGCACATATAACATGCTAAGACCCACAAATATATATTATATGCTAAAGCAACAAGTATATATATATCATGCTAAGACAGTTAAGTAAACTTCTAAACATACGTCCACATAAACACGTAAACATGTTACCAAAAAGCCACTAAACATATAGATCATGGCAACATAAGTATGATATGCACCCAAAACCCGTCGTCCTAAGGTTTTCGAACCTAGGAGCTCTGATACCACCTGTGACGACCCTGGTTTTTAGGCCAGCGTGTCCTGCGATGAACCGAAGATTGACCCGATAACGGATCCGATATGCGGAAGGGAAAACAGAAAATAAGACTCTAAGAAGTCAAAGTGACCTTCCATGAGGTCGTGGAACTCAACAAGAACTGATGCGGAAGCAAAAGATCGAAAATATAACAAATAAGCCCCTAGGGGCAAAATAGTTATTTCTAAAAACTGTAGATTTTGGTCCCACCAAGCACACCGCTAGAAGGACAAAAAAAAACTAATCAAGATGGACTCAAGAATCGCATGATTCGGAGTCCGGACGAAGGAGAAACAGCATGACGATGAAAAACGGACACTTAAAGATTTAAGGGCAAACTAGTAATTATCCAAAAATATCTGGGTCTAACCGAGCACACCGTTGGATAGATGACGAAAAATTAATCAAGTTAAAAAAAAAATTCACTTAAATCGGAGTCCAGACGAAGGAGAAAAGCCCAAAAGAAGAATTGACGTCGTGATGGCCCGACAAAGGCCATGACATGCCCCATGCGCGCCTGGCACCCATGCCGGCGCGCGCCCATGCTGACAGCAAGGGTCCAAAGCAGGTTTTCCAGAACTGAGGCTTGAAACGGAGGTCAAGACGAGTTTTTCTGGAAAAACACGAAGAAGAAACCCCCCCTAAAATCGAGTTTTCTACATGACTCGTGAAAAAATTAAAAAAAAACTCACTGTAAAATGCCCAAAATGTCCCTCTATGAAATCTGGTCATGAAGGCCAAAAAGCTGCTAAATTGCAAACTGGAAGCTGAAACTTTACGAGGGATTTCCGGTACCAAGACGAAATTTTCTGAAAAAACACGAAGAAGAAATCCCCCTAAAATCACGTTTTCTAAGTGACTATGACAAGAACAGAATTTATTTCCTGAAGGAAGACCCCAAAGTGCCTTAAAATCAGATTATGCAACAAAACTTCAAAATGAGTTCATAGGAAGCTCAAAACACAAACGATAAGGTTTTGCCCAGAAATGACCATGCACGCAAACGTAATATACCTATTTGGACCAGTTACAATGGTCCACGACTTAAAAATACCACCGATACAAAATCCGACCCCCCAACGGGCAAAAAGGCAAAAATGGAACTTGGAATGAAAACTCGAAATCCAAAAATACAAAACGGGGTCAAATGACTGTTTGGCCCTTGGCCACACTTCAAACATGATTTATAAGACCCTATAAAAGAATGAAAACGGAATTCCCACACCCGATGCAACCATGGTGAGACAATGACTTGGCATTTTTCAATATTTTCCTAATATTTCAAGAAGTTAGAAGTTACAAAAAATTCAATATACATGTCAATGGCCTCCGGCCTCATCTCATACATGTTGAATACATTAAAAGGAGTGCACTTAAGTACACATTACAAGAATAGAATCAAATTTACACATTTTGACATATAAAGTTATAAATGGCATTTCAAGCCAACATTTACAAGAAATGAGAACTTTAAGTTTACAAATCATCCAAGCATGATGTGAATCCCGAATCTTGATCCCGGTACCAAAAAAATGTCCCCATTACGTGGGTGAGTAACATAAAGCTACTCGTAGGAGATGAACATGCATCGACATAGCATTTTACAATTCTATCACCTTAAGGTGAAACATGTTAGAGGGTCTCATGCCACCTAATGTCTATGTCAAAGTGAGACTTAGGGATCATCCTAAGCTACTCATGCAATTGAAATGAACTACGGCATACAAGTATACATGCTCAAGTACACTAAACCGTATTAAAACATGATACACGATATTCAAGTACAC